AGAAACGTTTTCGAAACTAGGGCTGACCGCTTGCAGAAATTAAGCAAAGGCCACTAGCAGTATAAGAGGCGGGGGGGCTCTTAGGGGAGCTTGTATTACAACAAAAAAGTATAGTACCAACAAGTGTTGGTTATGTTGTCTCATGTGGTACATATTGATACTATTACGTGTTAATCTTATGATACCGAAATTGTCCAGTGGTAGTAGCACTCGCAGTTTAAAGGAGCAAAAAGAAAAGATGAAAAAAAAAACAAAAATTGAAACCGTTTTCTTAGAAAGGGGTCTGCGTCTGCTAAGGGGAATGGCCACTAATGAGGATGTAAAGTTAAGACAGCGCTCTACAAAAATTAAATAAAACAGAGTGCGACTGAAGTCTGTAAAGTTGTTGGAGTTATTTCCAAAACGCCTCCGCGGCAGCTAGAGTGGCCCCCATGCAGTCGGAGTCCATCCTCATAAATGAAAATCTGACAGCATTTCGCCGAAGATTGGTGAAAAAGGCGACTGATGAAAAGAATGACGGATTATTACTGGGAGTTTGGACTATTGACGGGAAAGTTTTTGTGAAGACTTCGCCGGATGGAAACCCTATAAAAATTAGTCAGACCTTGTTAATAACCTTTGACTCAATGTTAACCTACTGCTGGTACGAAACTCTAAGTATGGGAGGGGGATCTCAAAAAGGTTTCAAATCGAGCGGTTTTTTCTCTAAAGTATTTTCTTTACCCGGTCGTAACGTTTTTTTTTTTAAGTGTTTGCGTCCGCAGTGGTTTCTGTGCCAACTTGGTTTAGCTGTTTTCATTTGTTTTCTTTTGTTTCTTTTAGTGATCACACTGGTTTAGGTAAGAGGGTATTGTCTTACATTAGCTTATCTAATGCACAAAGAAAAAGGAATGAAGGTCACCTCACTCAGTGCAAGGAGCATTCGTTTTTTTCAATTTTTTTTCACTTCTTTCTTACGTAATTTTGTACTTCTTGTAACTTTAACATTGTGAAGTAAGTAAAACAATTATTAAAAAGAAAAAGAATTGGATTTGGGGGTTGTTAAAACTAGAAATAAAGGGAAATAATTAGTAGACAAGTACCAATTAGTTCACCACCACAACAAGATGCCCCTGACCTCATTAGCAGGCGATTAAGTGGCTTATGTGTATGCCTTTTCTACCCTTAAAATTTCTTTCATTCTCAATTCGATCAACCCCATTTCATTCTCAATTCACTGATCAACCCCATTTTGTTCACTGACGAGAGCGTCTCGGTTAAGACAGCCTCGATTGCCCCCAGCCCGGGGGGTACTATGGGTATGTGCCGCTGTGGGGTATGGTTTTCAAGCAGTTTACTCTAGGATAGGGTATATAAATCAGAGCGTTTGGGTCTAGAATAGGGTATCACTTTTCAGGAAACATCAGTTGGTTGAAGATTTTATTTAGACTGGGGAAACAGTCTCTAGGATTTTTGGGAGTTTACTCTAGTATAGGGTACAAAATTCAGCCTCTGATTAGGTGAAGGGTTCCAGGGTCATCCCCACCCAGAAATTCCTAACGTGCCCCCCCTCCCGGGGACTTCAGTCTGGTTAAACCGTTGTATATTCTCCCGGGAAGGTTGATATGAAATTATAAACAGTCCGCAACTAATACGGGCAATTATTTTGTAGTGATATTTGGCATAAATACCACGGTGATATTTCAAATACGTAATTTCCCGAAAAAATTTGAGACAAATTTCTGATGAGGTATTTATGCTTGTGATCGTTTATACTACTACCCGACTGTAATTTTCACATGTAGGTATTTCAAATTAAGCTGAAATACCACTGCTCTAAGCCAATCAAATTGCAGACATTTCTCATGTAGTAGTATAATTTAGTATCAAGGGAACTCAAATAAAGTAAAATTTCTGATGAGGTACTCGTGATCATGTGGGACTGCATCACAAAAAAACTTATGTAAACGATGCAGATCGAAAATCCAAAAGAGTGTTCCATGTGATATCTAAACTTGACGGTTGTCCCCACAATATTAATCATTCAGAAAAAGCTAATTCAAAACTAAACTTTTGAAACTTTGGTTAACTTCTGATCTACCGTCACTGAAGGGTAAGTTTGGTTGGCAACCTGAAATGTAGGGTAAATTGAGTTTACAACATGGACTACAGACTCGAAACGTTTTTTATGGATCCAAAAAAGTAAAGGAATATTTCATCTGCAATAATAATTAGAATGTTCACAGTCCCCTATTTTTTTGGGAGATCATTTAGATATACCGCGTCTTACCGTCACGGGTATCTTGATTTTCAAATGTACTGAGGGGGTGGGCGTTGGGGATTATAGCTCTCCCAAACCGCCCCCGCCCCTAAGTAGTTTTGACACTCATGCAAGATGGCAGCCCGTAACACAAAGCGCTCGATCTCGATGATCTTACGGAAAAATAGAGTACTGTCAACAGTCTAAATAATAATGTATTACTGCGTGCAGTTTCTTTATTTGTCAAAATGATTTAGACAA